AACAAGTGGCGAGTGCAAAAGCTGCCAACATAGTTAGCTAAAAATCCCACCCACCTCCCCATCCACCCCCCAAAAATAAAGATAAGAAAAATTCTGCTGCTGTGTTCAAATTTTTCAGGTTTTAAAGTGATCGGATGCAGTTATGGAGAGATGTAAAATAGATATGGATATACCGCCACTGGAATTAACAGCTCTGACAGCATGACAAGAACGTGCCATATTGCCAGTGAATGAGACACCAGTTAATCGAATCGAATTCTTGTTTAATTGACAAATTTTCAAAATTATTGACAGTTCATATTTTCAATATATATCTGTATGACTTTTAATTCAGTATTTTATCATTTCAAATTTGTTGTAATTTAAAAATAAATAAGTCGTTACAGTATAGCCAGCGGGATATGGCAAGATGAAAATGGAACATGTCCCCACATTGTACGCTAGCTTATATTTGGGGTTATATTCTTCTGTGTTCTCACAGAGATTAAATTGGGTCTTCTTTGAATGTACCAAAGAGACCGGTTCCTGAATTGGTCCCAGTTTGGAACTTAGGGTGTTCTCTTTGAATTTTATAATTAATAAGCTGCAATGGAAACCAAAGAGTTCTTGGGGGGAATATTTGCCACGTATCGGGGCTCATTTTTCATACGATCTCTCTATTTAGCATTTAACGTAGAGGATTGTAGCTATCATTGCCTACCAGTGAAGCACATGCTTGCCAAAAATAATGGTTCGGCGGTTTGTACGTTCATCTTGCCTTATCTTGTCTGCGCAAAAAATTAATACTGTAGCCATATCATTCCAAATTCTAGATCTTTGTTGATTATATTTATCCTTGAAAAACAAAAGGAGCCGAATTTATACATTTCACACATACTATTATGGTTCGAGAAAGAGTTTGATCGCACATGAGACATATTTAAAACGAAAGCAAAATTGGTTGATCGCCCATGAGACATGTATATAAAATGAAAGCAGTTTTGATCTTTGATTAATTAAGTTTATCATATTAGGATAAACTGGTTTAATAAAAGTAGAACTCCGTTTTTTCCGGAATCAATCCTAATTGTTTCCGAATTTAGTTACATTCTAAAATACGTCATATCGTGACGTCATTCATGCGTTGTTAAACAAGTGGCGAGTGCAAAAGCTGCCAACATAGTTAGCTAAAAATCCCACCCACCTCCCCATCCACCCCCCAAAAATAAAGATAAGAAAAATTCTGCTGCTGTGTTCAAATTTTTCAGGTTTTAAAGTGATCGGATGCAGTTATGGAGAGATGTAAAATAGATATGGATATACCGCCACTGGAATTAACAGCTCTGACAGCATGACAAGAACGTGCCATATTGCCAGTGAATGAGACACCAGTTAATCGAATCGAATTCTTGTTTAATTGACAAATTTTCAAAATTATTGACAGTTCATATTTTCAATATATATCTGTATGACTTTTAATTCAGTATTTTATCATTTCAAATTTGTTGTAATTTAAAAATAAATAAGTCGTTACAGTATAGCCAGCGGGATATGGCAAGATGAAAATGGAACATGTCCCCACATTGTACGCTAGCTTATATTTGGGGTTATATTCTTCTGTGTTCTCACAGAGATTAAATTGGGTCTTCTTTGAATGTACCAAAGAGACCGGTTCCTGAATTGGTCCCAGTTTGGAACTTAGGGTGTTCTCTTTGAATTTTATAATTAATAAGCTGCAATGGAAACCAAAGAGTTCTTGGGGGGAATATTTGCCACGTATCGGGGCTCATTTTTCATACGATCTCTCTATTTAGCATTTAACGTAGAGGATTGTAGCTATCATTGCCTACCAGTGAAGCACATGCTTGCCAAAAATAATGGTTCGGCGGTTTGTACGTTCATCTTGCCTTATCTTGTCTGCGCAAAAAATTAATACTGTAGCCATATCATTCCAAATTCTAGATCTTTGTTGATTATATTTATCCTTGAAAAACAAAAGGAGCCGAATTTATACATTTCACACATACTATTATGGTTCGAGAAAGAGTTTGATCGCACATGAGACATATTTAAAACGAAAGCAAAATTGGTTGATCGCCCATGAGACATGTATATAAAATGAAAGCAGTTTTGATCTTTGATAAATAACCCTGTATCATATATTTGGAAATAAAGTGGCAAAAATTATCTCACTTGAAAACAATGAAAACTAGATCTCTAGTTTGGAACGCTCTCAAATAGGACGATATTTATTATAAATTCACATGAAAACGATCTAATAAATAGTCATAATGAAAATAAATTGTAATAAAAGCAAAACTACCGTATAATATTATCATTTTCCTGTTTAATATTGCAAATGATGAGAAAAGCCGACTATCGAGTTTTGTGCAAAATTTGGTTGAAAGTTTGATATGCCAATAAATTCCACGCGTACCAACGTCAAATTATTTTTCTACTGGCTGTATACCCCACTTGAACATGTCAAATATCCGCGTATATGTATGCAATTAGATCAGATAAGTCTTGGAACGATTACAAACCAATCGATTGATACGCAGCACCTACATGCATTAATATCAAAACGACTTATTCTTAAAATGGTTGAAATAAAAAAAAATCGTTGAACTGATAACCTACTTCGTAAACTTATTTTCCTATGTTTTTATGACCTGCACTTTTAAATTGTATTTTTTACTCAAAAACTTTTTTTTTAAATTGAAAGTTCTCGTAACAATAGGCAGACCGGAATACTCGAAAGCTTAGTTGTTAAGAAGATTTGTTTTGGGAAATTGCATCATGCTAAGGAATTTTTTAAATATTCCAAAAATTGGTGACTTGAAAGAGCGTTAGATTTTTTATGTACTTGATTTTTACCATTTTGTTTCATCAATATCCAGAAAAGATTTGATTTAAACAAAAATTTCGATGTAAATAAACTCATCATAGATACCAGGATTGAAATTTTGTACTTGCGCCAGACGCGAGTTTCGTCTACAAAAGACTCATCAGTGACGCTCGAATCAAAAAAGTTAAAAAGGCCAAATAAAGTACGAAGTTGAAGAGCATTGAGGACCAAAAATTCCTAAAAGTTTTGCAAAATACAGCTAAGGTAATCTGTTCCTGAGGTAGAAAAGCCTTAGTATTTCAAAAATTCTAAGTTTTGTAAACAGTTAATTTATAATTATGACTATATCAATGATAATTCATGTCAACACAGAAGTGCTGACTACTGGGCTGGTGATACCCTTGGGGAATAAAAACTCCACCAGCAGTGGCATCGAACCAGTAGATGTAAATAAACTCATCATAGATACCAGGATTGAAATTTTGTATTTGCGCCAGACGCGCGTTTCGTCTACAAGAGACTCATCAGTGACGCTCGAATCAGAAAAGTTAAAAAGGCCAAATAAAGTACGAAGTTGAAGAGCATTGAGGACCAAAAATTCCTAAAAGTTTTGCCAAATATAGCTAGGATAATCTATTCTTGAGGTAGAAAAGCCTTAGTATTTCAAAAATTCAAAGTTTTGTAAACAGTTAATTTATAATTATGACCATATCAATGTTACAAGATTCTTATGTAGTTTTTTCCTTAGAAATGTAAAAAAGACATTATGTATTAAAATTTAACAGATACTGTCTTTAAATGTACGATTGCAGTTAAGAAATAACTATTAATCAGTATAGTTACTGGCTTTAACAATAGACTAATCATAGATACCAGGCTTAAAATTGTGTTCACAAGACGCGCGTTTCGTCTACAAAAGACTCACCATTAACGATCGAACAGAAAATTCAAAAGACAAAATAAAGTATGAAGTTGAAGAGTATTTTAATAACACAACATAAGAACGGATTTAAAAATCAGTTACAAATGGCTTTATGTTATAGATCGATACGAAGCACACAAAGACCCAACTAACATAAAAAAACAAAAGACACGAAGCATCGATATAAGAGTACACGCAGTTGCTGAAAGCTAATTCAAAGCCAATTACAACTAAATGATAAATCATGCTTTCCCTACCTGTGTATTAGTAACAAAGTTTTGAAAAACAGAAAAGGGTTAAAAACGACAGTGATTTAGAGATACCTCCTGTTTAAGGTAAATATTATACTCTCCCCCCTGAAAATTGTTAAACCTTACAAATTGTTTCAACCGTTTTTCTTGATTTGTAACCCCACTAAAATTTATATGCAGCACTTTTCTTAATGGACGAAACAACAATGTCAAAATATCTAAATTTTTCTATATACTAGTAAAGGCGGTAAACCTTACAGAAAAAGCTATTACTTGTACTATTTTAAGAAAAGCTTTCACTTGTTCAATTAACCACACTACAATGTAACTTACCTTTGCAACGCAATGGATGCCAAATTGCCATTGAAACGGAAGTTTCCTAATTGAATTTAATGTCTGATGAACAAGAATGTCCCCCCCCCCCAAAAAAAAAAAGAGAAAATGAAAAAAAAGAGACATATCTTTCACTCATCAGTTTTGAGATGGACAGCTCTTAAAAAAATAGTACTTGTCCAATTATAGCTTTTAGTAGAGCTAATACTTTTGCAATGACCCACGATGCAACGTAATGCAATGATCGCCTACTATAGATAATTGAAACAGAAGTTGGCAAATTGAATTTAACAAAGCTTGCGTCAGACAATTACCTCAGTCTCGCTTTGGTCTATATACATTTTCAAAGATGACCGACTACATTTGTACCATAATGAGGTTTTCTCTGCCAATTTTTTAATTATATTGTTTAATGCATGGTAAAATGCCCGATAACAATCTGCAATAAGGTCAACGCGATGACAACGATCTTGGAAAACCAATAAAGGACAAAAACAAAAAAATTAAAAAGTACACGTACTCACCGCGCGAAAAAAAAACATGGTTATTTCAAATGTATAATTGTATTATTTATTTAGCAAAAATGTTTGTTATAAACAGTATACACAAAATTATACATCTATTTGAAAAATCAGGTATCATACAGTGGAACCTTTAAAGAGCCATAATGTATTGTTTCCACGGTTGCATATACGATAATAAAATCTGAGATCGTTTTTGTAAGCATCTTTAGTGATGTTTCTGAAATATTTCGTTGGTGTCTGCAGAATGAGTATAATCTTTGCCTGAAAGTATATAGAATATAATGAGCTTATTTCATTTTCATTGCACATCAGTATACATGATAGAAATACAAAAAAAAAAAAAAAAAAAATATTACGCTGCAGTTAACATTCACATACACTTGTGAACATTACATCTTATCTGTAAATGGTATAAGTACGTTTGATGTAGAATAAGGATGTTAAACATTAATAAGCATATATAAGATGCTATTTTTTTTAAATAAGGGCTGAAAGCTTTTACACTTAAAATAAAATATATAAATTTTTCTTTTTCAAGCGTGATTGTTTGCAATAATGATATAAAAACGATAAAATATTAAAGCGGAACTAACCTCCTGATTAATTCCCACTAAACTAACTAAACTCTTGTAACATACTTATACGGATATCAGAATTATAGAATGTTCATAGAAAACAATAAATTATCAATATTTTGTGCATATATTTGGATAATCTAATTAACCATCGACATGATCTCCGTACATTGCAGATTGTCATATTATGACCCCAAATTATGAATATAAATACACAGACATGGATTCGGAGATTAGAACGTGAAACAGTTTAATTTAAATGAAAATTATTCGTCTTCTTTTTTATTTCATATTTTAGACAAAATGAGTAATGTAAATCATCAGTTTACCATTAAAAAAATCGTTATTCCTAAAGGTTTCAGAGTTTTACTTTGCATACATTAAAAATAAAACATGTGTTTCTGTTAACATGCTGAATGAAACAAGGGTCGGTAGGTAGGCAAATAATTATATATTTCAAAAAATTTCAATAATTTTAACGTTACCAATTTTAGTGCCCCGGATGCGCATTTCGACAAGTAATATCTCTTAAAATAAAATAAATAAATAAATAAATAATCTTTATATCAAGAGGATAATCCCATTAGTTAAAACTAATCTTCCTGAGAGTCCTCAAAATAATAATAACATATTTATAAGTACATACAGTATCATAATGATATATTATACACAAGATACAATTGTATCTAGATAATAATGAAAAATTGATTGATTGATTGTTGGTTGCTTAACGTCCAGTGGCAAATATTTCATGCATATTCAGGACGAGAACAAGTTCACAATAAATACAATAGGTAGGTTCTGTAATAGATTAAGGGATTAAGGTCGGAGAAATTTAGACTGCCACGGGAAATGAGGGTAAATTGGATAGGGACAGAAATTTAGCCTTGCAACAGGTCACCTACGGGCCCCCTTAAAGAGTTGTTTGCATAATAATGAAAATGCATATTAATTTGCACAATTGATGAAAAATGTGTAACATTTTGCTTTAAAAGATACAAGTGTATTACTCATTTTTATTTCATTTGGTAAACTGTTCCATATTTGAGAACCTGAATATGTAAATGTTTTCTTTAAAAAGTTTGTTTTTGGTTTCGGAAGATTTAATAGTTTTTCATCAGCTGAACGTAAATTATAATTCTGATTACCAATAAAATGAAAGTTTTCTTGTAAATAGTTAGGAACCATATCATTTAATGATTTATATACAAGTATTGCCTTTTGATATTGAATGCGTTTTTCAACATTTAACCAGTTTAAGCTATTAAACAACAAACTGGATGATGTCATTATGTCAGCTTCTACTATAACCCTAGCAGATTTCTTTAATAACTTATTAAGTTTTTTTAGTCCACTTTCATAACAACTTCCCCATATATTGCAACAATAACCAAACAATGGCAGAATATAAGCATTAAAATAAATAATACGTATATGCATAGGTAAATATTTTCTTATCTTTTGTAATAAATTGATTCTATTTGATATTGTACATGACATTTTATCTATTTGCTCATTGCAATTTAGGTTTTTGTCGATATATAAACCAAGAAGTTTTTCACAATCTACATTCTCTATTTGTTCATCTGAAATTTTTATATCTAAACTGTTCCCAGTTGAATAAAGCCTCTGTTTTGAACCAATAATCATTGATTTACACTTTTTGGCATTTAGTTTCATACAATTTTGCGAACACCAGTTTTCAATTACATGAATATCATTTTGAAGGTTAGCAGTTAACTGAAGTACATCATTACCTTTACTATGTAATGTAGAATCATCTGCATATAAATCTATTAATGAATTTTCTATGTTCAGTGGTAAATCATTGATATATAAAATAAATAACAGAGGGCCTAGGATAGAGCCTTGTGGTACACCAGTTTTTATGCATTTAGTATTAGACATGACGTTATTGACCTTAACTTGTTGACTTCGTTCATACAAGTATGACTTAAACCAGTCTAGTGTACAGTTTGAAACATTATAATATTCAAGATTTTTTAATAAAATAATATGATTAACCAGATCAAAAGCTTCTTTAAATCTAAAAATATAACTCCGTTTATTTCTCCATTATCTATATTTGCTAACCATTCATCTACTAATTTAGTAAGTGCAGTTGTGCACGAATGTTTAGGTCTGAAACCTGACTGTGTAGTATTAAGAAGGTCATTTCTATTTAAATATATAAACAAACTATTAGCTATATGTCGTTCTATGATTTTGGAGAGACAAGGCAAAACTGCTATTGGTCTATAATTATCAGGATTACAAGCATCGCCACTTTTAAAAATTGGGCAAACTCTTGCAGTTTTAAAAATATTTGGAAATTTACCACATTTGATGCTTAGATTAAATAAATATGTTAAAGCTGGTGCAATGACATCGCTGCACATACTCAAAATATTTGGTCCAACATCATCTAAACCAGTTGCTTTAGACTTGTCAAGTTTTTTTAAATATATTTTTACATCTAAAATACTCATTTCTGGTATAATGAATTTTTCACTACCACTTTGTAATTTTGATTTCACAAATTTGTTGAGTACATCGAAACTTGGACCTTCATCATTATTACATAATTTGTTATCAACTATACCTTCAGCAATATTTGTGAAATGCACATTAAATGTATTTGCTATATCAACATCATTTTGAATTACACTATTTTTATATTCCAAATGCGTGATATTATTATGTAATTTTTGGGGATTTAGACTTTTGACATACTTCCAAATAGTTTTACTATCTTTACAATTTGAAATAGCATTTTGGAAATAATTTTTCTTTGCCTGTTCTACTAAAAATGTAACCTTATTACGCCAAATTTTATAATTATATATATCCCCAATTCTATGAAAATAATCTCTTTGGTGTCTAGCGCTATTTATATCAGAAGTCCACCACTCTGGTTGTTGAGTATTTTTCACCCTTTTAATTTTCTTAGGAGCATGCTTGTCTAGGGTTATACCAATAATTAGCTGCTTCAACAACATCTCCAATCGATTCAATGAGATGAAAAGGAGTATTTGTTAAATTTTCAATAAATTTATTTTTATCAAATTGTTTGAATGATCTATATTCTATGGACAAATGCTCCATTTTTGATATTTTTGGGTTAAGTTTTCTTGTTACGCAAACGGGATAATGATCACTGACAGCATAACTAGGCACATTTACTTCTGTAATATGGTCTACATCGGTAGTATAAATATGGTCCATAGTAGTTACACATTTATCTGTTACTCTTGTGGGTTTATGTACAATTTGTTGTAAACCATACAAATTAATACAGTCCTTCCATTTTTGATTTCCGACAACTGTATGATCTATATGTGAATAGTTTATATTGAAATCTCCTAAAAGTATAATTTCTTTATTTTCTGCTGACGCTTTTTCTATTTCTTTTTCAACTGAATCAATCCAAGATTGCAATGAACTCGGTGGACGATAAAAAATGCCTATTAAAATAGAGTTTGTGTTTGGAAAAATAATTTCAATCCATAAAGATTCAATACTACCTATTTCTAAATCGATTCTTCTCTGGTGACATACACTATTTCGTATGTACGCAATCACACCTCCGCCATCATTAATAGCGTTTCTATCTTTTCTTTCTATTTTGTAACCTTCAATTTGTAATGTTTCGGTACCAATTTCATCATTTAAAAATGTTTCTACCATACCAAATTTATCAAATAATTGTTCATATTTTAATAGGAATTTTATTTCTTCAATTTTTGGTTGTAAATGTTGAATATTGAAAATCTTCAGTGATGCTGGAGGCAAAACAATCAACTGAGTTAAACAGAGGAAACAGTCTGACGTTATTTGTGCTTTTTTTCAAATTGACAAAATATCTTTAGGGTAGAAACTACAAGTAACAGTCGGTATGGTTAGCAGAATACATATACAAAAGAAAATGCTTAGCACACGCGCAATTATTTTCTCTAGCTGAGGTCTCAACATAGGTACAAAAATGTAGTACGCATACTCATCCAAATAAGGTCGAATAAATGTCTTTCGAGAGAGTATCAACAGCAGCGAAGTTTTTTCTTTAACAAAATTGAACCATTGCCCAAACTTATTGCTAATAGCAAATAATTGTTAATATTTAGAAAAAAAAATGTTTCAGCTTATAATGTCAAAAAGCTAATGTCGCTTAAAACCAGAAACGGCATTTGGACTTCATTTGGTTCGAAATTTTGAACCCAAACCTCGAACCGATTAGTTTAAGTCTTAATCCTTTATTTTTTTATTAACCGTACACAATTCTTTCGCCGCCACATTTTAGAAAACATAATTAAATAAAGTTAGTACGTCCGTTTTATTGACATTGAAACAAATCTAATTTCTATATAGTTTACTTTTTTAAATAAAAAATGAAAAAAATAAATGTACATGTTATTGTTTTTTAATATGCCAATCTGATTGCAAGACTCTTGCTTCATAAGAAAAACATATATATTTATACAAAGTAAATTAATGTCTCAAACCCCAATCGTTATCCCAAAATATTGAGACAGACAATACCGCGTTTTGAAATCCCAATCATATTTGTCATTGAGAAAGGATGGAAGCAGATTCAAATGGTATTTCTGCAAAAAAATTGACATTTTATTATTTCTCATATCGAAAATATGGAGTGATTGATACAAATATAATGCAATACGACAAAAAGATAAGTAATTTTCAAAAGTGTTTTAATGAAACTAAATTTACATCTCGTGTACATGTATTAGTAGTCTCAAAAAGCTATCTTATAGCTCTTCAACTGTTTCGGTACTTATGCATCCCTCGGATTTCAAATGTTTGGCTTTGAGCGTTCCTGATGAAGGTAAATCCAGAAAAGCGCATCGGACGCAAGAAATTATTAAACGTGTTGTTTTCATTTTTTTAAAACAAACAAACTATCACCTTTATCATAATTATTTTCAAAACTGAAAATAATATTTGGTGTAAGAAAACCTTCATAAACCATATATGTATAGTTACCTCAAGTGCATATACTTTCAGCAGGGTCGTGTATATCATGTCACTCTTGCAGGGTACTGTTATAAGCGTAGCAGCCATGACCCTTTTTAACCATTAATACATGATTCTAAAATAATGGGACATAATTTTAGTAAAAGAGGGGCGAAAGATACCAAAGGGACATTCAAACTCATAAGTCGAAAATAAACCGACAACGCCATGGCTAATTAAGAAAAAGACCAACAGACAAACAAATATATCTATTTGATATTACATATATCATTGGAAGGAGTAAATCAGGAGTTAACGTAGAAGTTAGAATGACATTCTTTCAATTTTTTTTATGGATATAAAAGTGTCACATGTGAGAAGTACAAATCAATGATTTGAAATTACTGACCAAAAAAATTAATATTTTAGCATTGACCATGTACACATATATAAATTCTCGACTGGTTGCAAAGGCAAACGATCGAATTTACTGAATGTATTTCAAACTTAGGCCATTGAATTTTTTTTTCAATCTTATATATTACCACAGCTTCATATGTGTATATACTTTGGCGTTGTAACATCATATATGCGGAACTTCTAACATAAAGCCCAATTTTGAATTCCTAATAACGGTCAAACACTGCATTCTTAAACGATTTCGACTTCTCTGTATTTATAAAACAAACGACGACATTCTTAACCAAAACCACTACGTTTTATTTATCTCTTTCACATAATAAAATCATTTTAGTGTTTTTCGACGTAAAAAAAGAACCATTTTATTTGGGATTTTTTTTTTCAAATTGTCTTCGAGAGAAAACTAAAGCATCACAATATGATTTTATGCATTTAAGAAAAATTGTTACTAAACCCTTAACTATAGTCTTTAAAGTTAAAAGACTATTAAATTTGCACAAGGTTTCATCTACGTGCTGATTTTGTGCAGGCAGTAAAAACTGGGTTGCTCGTGCTGTGTGGATGCGGTATATAGAATGTATCCTGTGCTTGTAAAATATGCCCTTATATTTGACACTCCTTATTTTTATGCTTGTATGGTTTTCTCTATTCCTTTTAGGGTTCTGTAATGTTATTTAGCTTCATTACGTTCAACACAACTATTGGTCTCGTTCGAAACGTCATATCTTATATTAGTAAGTAATCAGATATTTTTTTTCGTCAAGATTTTCGTGTGTGTTTGTTTGTTTGTGTTTAAAGCCACTTTTAACAATCTTTACTATATCATTGTAGGATGAAATTTGAAAAAAAAAATGCAGGACAGGAGTTTTGAATAGAAAAAAGGCAGGATGAGCAGCTTGGCAAAAAAAAAAATGCAGGATGACAATTTATGTAAAAAAAAAGTCAGGATAAACTAATAAAAAAAAGGCAGGACCGAATAGAGTGAAAAATAAAAATGCAGGACAGAGATTACAATTAAAAAAAAATGCAGAACAAAATTTTTCATCCTAGCCCCCCCCCCCCCCCCCCCCTAAAAATCAAATGGTAGCTCTCTTAAACTTACCCATTCCGAATTGAAGAAGTCTAGGCAATAATTCTTAACCTCAGTCAACAACTTCAAACAGACAGCAAACCATGAAAACGTTTTATATCTTTTCATTAGAATTAAAGTTTGACATTCGATTTTTTAAATTATAACAAATGTCTAAAACAACACCATATCGTTATAGAGTCTTATTGTTATTGATACTTACAGCGATGGGTCGATATTGATACACTATACTTTCTGCAGTAGAATTCTCACTAGACACAAATATGAACAGCATTAAACAAATCTATAAAACACAGCTTAATTGTAGACGACAGATACTTAAAACAAGTCTTAAAAGTTGGATTTTTGTATATATACGACAGTGTCTGTGATGTCCTAAGATAATCCCTAAAAATCCTTAATATCAAAAATAAAATATTTAGTACTTAAGATTCGCGGAAGTCTTTGATTGGTGTCGATCACGCTACATTTGTTCATTAAAGATTCGAGCTGAGTAATAATACCAACAAATTATAAATTATATCTGGCAAAGAAATCTAACAAACATTATTTTATATAGCATGACAATAACATTGTGAAATACAGAAACAAAACAAACATTATGTCTTTTATACCTTTTCAGCTCACTAGTCAGTACTGAAATGATTGTAACATACCTTTATAAAATTCACTGTCAACACGTATTAATACATCCCTGTTTTTTCATTTTTTAACAACAACGGGGCACATCAAGATATGTGTTAGATAACTCTGCATGAAATTACGTATGCATAGGACAAATGATTTGATGGGCTAAATAACAATTTAAATAAACAAACTGGCCGAAAACGAATAAATGAAGTAGCATCATTCTCACAATTTGTTTAATTTCCAACACTAAAACATGGATTTTGCCGTAATACAAACAGGGTATGTAAATAAGAAGATGTGGTACGATTACCCATTAGATATATCAACCAAAGACAAAATCACGTAGATGTTGGCAACTATAGACCACTGTACGGTTTTCAACCATGTGCAAAACCCATACACATAGCAAGCTATAAAAGACAGGAATCTGATGTTCAGTAGTTGTCGTTTGTTGAAGTGGTTCATAAGTGTTTCTCGTTTGTCGTTTTTTATATAGATTAGATCGTTGGTTTTCCCGTTTGAATGGTTTTACACTAGTAATTTTTGGGGCCCTTTATAGCTTGCTGTTCGGTGTGAGCCAAGGCTCCGTGTTGAAGACCGTACTTTGAACTATATTGGTTTACTTTTATAAATTTTGACTTGGATGGAGAGTTGTCTCATTGGCACTCATACCACATCTTCTTATATCTATGACAAAGTGTAAAACAATTCAAACGAGAAACATCTTATATCTTGTACCAAACATTTCTTTCAAAGCACTGAATGTATTTTAAGGAAACTTTTACAAGAACTTTCGTTCAAATAACCAGTGTGCATCCTCATAGAGTACGGTATTCGAATAATTTTCAGGTTCTCTATATCAAAATATTAACTTTACCATATCTATTCACATATGGGAATTGAGTATGGGGATCTTGTTCACGAAATAGGAGTTTCAACTCTTGGAGTGCCAAAAAAAAACAAAAAACAGTATGATTTAAGGAGAAACACTTGAGAATTAATGTTTTATCTTTCACCAGTGTTACACTAGTCTCAGTACTATTTTACAATCATGATTACAAACGCATGTTAGTCCTTAAACATAAGAAAATATTTCGATCACTACATCATCTAACATAAAGAAAGATTCATAATAGGAAGAATGTTTATACTGTTCAATAACTAGAATGAATTTACAAACCGTAGACGTAAGAATCAAATGTCCCATATCTTTCATTTTGACATATAGGACATCCCTTATCTCTTACATATACAATCAATTTACCAGGTATTGTCAACAGGTTCATTAGCCTAATCACAGAAACTTGGTAACGGCAACCGTTCATATAACCCGTCATATTCATAACCCTTTCTTTTTAAAGTATCCGTTAGGTCCTCGTGTTCAAAATCTATATGAAAAAAATAAACGAAATAACAACTATGATATTAGTTTTACAATCTTCATTTTTAAACGTTAATCTTAGTTGTTGATCTCGTAAACAGATCTTGCTGTATCTGCATGGTTTCTCCCTAGGAACTTCGATTGAGTTAAACTATATCGATTTTGACAACTCTTTAAGCATTAAATCTTAATCTTGATGAACGTCTATTATGACAAAAGGTTTAAAGTTTATTCTATGCAATTTAATCACGCATGATTTTGCTACTCTGTATACTTCACTACAAAACAATCTTATGAAAGAGAAATTCCCATATTTGATTAAATAGTTTTACGATAAATCTGTTTCTATCGTTAGAATTCCCTTATTGATAATAAAACTTAAACAAAAAACCCACTGGACATGCATAAAAATGTTTAAAGTCATCATATTTTATGCTGACAAATTTTGTCCCTCAACGAGATTTGAACTCACACCTTTGATACACTACAGCACCAATCGCTTAGCCTCATGTCCAGCGCTCTAGACAACTCGACTGCATCCGCTATATTAAAATATAACTTCAATAGTCGTAGTGTTACCTTGTCACGTAAGGCGAAACTAGAGATAAACATAAGACGTGTTTTAGCGTGTGTAGATGTTATATTATTTTTTGATACACTATGTATTTTAATTTGTCAGCAATCTAACTCAACAATTTTTAAATACCGTATATGATAATGATTCAATTCATTATAGTCACTAGAAATAAGTATATCATACAAACAAGTCTAAGCAAGTGACAACCATACAATATATGTGTGCACTGGATCTCAGTGTGTTTGAAATACATGGTAAAAACAAATATTTATATAAATCTGAAAATTAAAGTGTTAGATTTTTATGCTGACAAATTTGTGTCTCTCAATGGGATTTGAACTCTCACCTTTGATACACTACAGCACCAATATATATATGAAGTGCCTAGAAAATCAACCTTACAATGTTAGAGTAGATCTGATTCTTTACTTCCTCCCCGACCGGGGCTGGAACCAGTACTTTTCACTTTATACTTCTACGACAACACCGCCTAGAATTGCGCAGACGCCTTATCCCCTCCTCTAATATATATAAAGATATATTTTGATAATCATATATATATATATTTTTTAAGAATTTGTTTTATCAAAAAAATTTATATGAATCATGACAACAGTTGAGCAATAAATCTGCAGTAAGCGAGGCAAAGTTAGTTGTCATCGAAATACAATCATTTCCAGTACTTTTGATTATTTTCCTTTCCTTGATGGTGTTGTTCTCTTGGCTCATCAATTGCCTCGATATGCACTTGTTTGCAATGACGTCTAAGATTTCAATATACGTAATATTTGCATTACTAACACAATTTACAGCCTGGATAAAGATTTCATAAATTAGTCAAAACTTGTATTAAATTTAATCACAAATGTATATTGTGACAGTATTATTCCAACCGTTGGAATTTAAATACAGTGGTAGTTGCATTCAACTTTTCGTGGTATATAGGTTTTAAAGGTAATAAGCCTGGGAATTGTCACTGTATTGTAAACCGAATAAAATTTCAATCATTCTATAGCTAGGAATCGTCCTTCCAATCTTTCTCTTTTGCTTAATAGCTATATTGATACAAGTTATACGTTTGGTGTTACTGTTCGATCACAGTGTGTGGTCTTTTTTGGGATAAGCATCAATTCGAATTGATAGTTTAAAGCAATACCATAATGTTTTTTATGAATAGTTTGTTACGGGCATTGCACAAAGTTGTGTCTCCTTGTACAATTTATAAAGTGGCTCCGTGAGATCTTTTAGACGTACAGCAATCGATATAAGTTTAAGGCATTACGATTCCTTATCAGCAGGATCTGTACTTCGAGCTTGATACCCGTAACTGCAAGCATTCTTTAATATGATATGGTATATATTGTTTTATTATTTTGTGCTGTTTGAGGTTTCGCTTTTTATCGCATGTTTTTGTCCGCTGATTGAGATTGAAAAGAGGGAGGGTAGATATATACAATAGAATAGTTTAACCCCCCCCCCCCCCCCTCCCCGAATATTCATGTACCTGTCCCAAACATAAACCTTGTCTGTGATTGTTTTATTCCCTATAACTTTTATTGTTTTTTTGTAGTTGATAGTAGATTTTGAATTGTCTCTGTTTAATCTCTTAACTTTGATAATCTCGGGTCGATTTAGAAACTGAAATAATGTATCTATTGTCGAAGACTACATGCTCCCATTAGATATGTGTTGGTTATTTTTGTCGTCGAGTTGCTGTCTCATTGACTGATACCTGGAGCAGGATCTGCTTACCCTTATGGAGCACCTGAGATCACCCCCAGTTTTTGGCGGGGTTCGTGATGCTCAGTCTTTAGTTTTCTATGTTGTGTTTTGTATACTGCTGTTTGTTGGCCTTTTTCTTTTTTAGCCATGGCGTTTTCAGTTTATTTTCGACTTGTGAGTTTGAATGTCCCTTTGGTATCCTTTCACATTCTTTTTATAGGGGTAAATACTTAAAGTCTAGTTAAGATGCTGCATTTTCATTATCAACCCCAGTAATAGATCTTGATAGTAGATATGGGTGTTCGTTATTTTTGAGTTGATGTAGGATTTGGTATAGATAACAAGTCTTTAGTCATCTCGTTTGAGATAATTTACAACTGGTCTTGTATACATTTATACAAATTCAAAATTGTGGGCGTATGACATTTGCGCCGATTTTGAAAAGTTTCGATCTTTCATTTGCGCCGATTAAGCACAGGTAAATTACAGGTGAATGTTATTTTTTAGTTATCAATATAAAAACCTCTTCCGTTAGCCAGTTGTACATGTGTTATAAATTGTCAATTATAACATGCATATAACTGTTGTCCCCTGCAAATAGATTGTTGTCGTTTTCATCTGGCACATAAACTGGTGGAGGAAAATCCAGTCTGTTGGTTTAAGTATACATTTTTAAACAGAGTATAAAGACAAACCAAGTGACACTGGTAAATGGCTATCTCAATTTTTGGGCTATCATCCTTCCCCCAGATGAAATCGAGGACTGCTTCACGTTTGACATTAGGTCTGAAACTCCTTCTGATGACAGATGTCATGCATTCTTAGACTACGTATTATTAAATTATTTATATATGCTTAACTTCACGCTATTCACCTTATTTTTGGGCAGCTACACCCGTTGAAAATTATAAAAGGACGAATAACAGTCCTGAATCGTTTCATTCGCATTTTTGACTTCTATTGCTTGAAATCCTTATTTCACCTCCCCGTGGTGAGAAGGGGACAACAGCTATATACATGTTATAATTGTCAACAGAAGAGATTTATAATGATAAATAAGAAATAAGAAATAACATTCACCTGTACACAATCGGCGCAAATGATAGAAAAAATCGGCGCAAATGAAATAAAAAATCGGCGCAAATGAAATGCAAATCGGCGCAAATGCAAA